ATACCTACTACTATTTTAATTGCAATCTGATTTTCCCATGTTGAAGGCTACCTTCATTACGTTTAGGTCATAATTTCCACGTCATTGAAAGCTTTAGCCAATTTTTCATAAAGGCGATATTTTTGGTATCTCCCTCCCTCCTTTTTTATTCTAAGCATGTGTTAGCAGTTGAAGTTACAAAAAAAGGATAAACACAATTGTTCTTCTCAATCTATTTACATGTAAACTAACTGTAAAGTAATGTGATCAGTGATGCTTTCAGGAATGATAAAGTGCTATGAGTAGGACCATAGAAAAGGAAGGTATGAATCTGCTTAGACTGTGAAGAGGTGGTATATGAGAGAGTTTAAACATTATAGCATGTGTTTACTTTGACATGTGGACTATACTTCTCTTCCATAGAGAAGAGTAGTGGTGGAAAGGCAGTTGGGAAGAAGAACCAGTATATTTAAAGTCATGGAGGCATGTATAGTTTAGGGCATTGTCAGATAATAAATAGGTGATGTTGGATCATGAAGTGCAAAAAAGGAAGTAGGAAAAATGAGAAAATGAGGTTGTAAAGAATCAGATACCAGAGGGCTTTGATTGCTCTTTGAGCAGTTTGAGAGTGATCTGGAAGCAAAAAAGGATTCATTAAAGTGTTAACGCTATGATTGGAAATGTTTTGAGAATTGTTCGATTTTGTTGGAATAGCAAAAACACTTGAATGATAAGATCCTAACGAGGTTTTTCTGTACAACTAGTGAGAACTGATGAAAGCAGGGGTGGGGAGAAGAGAAAGGAGCAGATACATGGCAGATGCATTCAGTTAGAAAAGAAATTGTGACATATTTTATCCATTTAAAAACTACCCAAAACTTATGATTGGCACTGGGTGTTTAACTTCAGTATTTCACAATGGACATATGTTATTTTTAATCAGATTTTTTGGCAGTTAACCTATTACAAACAAATTTGAAATCCTTTATCCTATCAGATTCCTCTCTTCCTCTCCAGAGAAAATAACTATTCTGAAGTTTGGAGAGTTCTTGTTCAAACTTTAATATTTCTACTACTTATAAATGTATTTATATTTAAAACTAGTTAATATTTATCAAAATTTACAAATATTGTATTACTTTACATGCATTCTTTTATAATTTGATGTTTTTTAGTCAATATTATATTTTTCGTACTTGTTCATGATGACAAATATCAGTCTAGTTGGTTCAGTTTCCTTTCCAATTAATTTATTACATTGTCTTAATTTACAAAAATTTACTTATATATGACCTTGTTTTGGACATATATGTTATTTCCATTACCAGGGGCATATTAAAGAATTAACTGGATTAGGTGACAAGTACTATCTCACATTCTTGGTTCTATAAGACATGAATTTTCTCCATTTTACAGATGGGAAAAGAGGTCAAAGACAAAATATGTGTTACCCAAGGTCAACAGGTAGTTAAGTGACAGAATGTGCAATACAGTTTTTCAGATACTATATTCATTTCATTATCCCATGCAGCTTTTAAAATAGAATAGAAATAACTGCCATAAGATTTTGCAAGAGCTAAAATAAAGATACATTCAAAGAATGAAGCAATCATACATAGTCTACTTTTAATATGAAGTCTCAGATGGAACATAGAGTCCCTGAATCGACACTAAGATTGATGATCAACCTCAATATACCTTGACTTGAATGCAGCACTCAGGCTTTTTATTGAAGATCTGTCATGTTCTCTAGCATTCTTCTAGGCACTGTGGAGCTTACAAAGAAATGTCAAAAGTAAAATCACCTTATAATCTGTTCTGGGAGTTAAATACTAGAAGCATAAAACTACTCAGGTTGGAAGAATCAGGAGTGATTTCATGAAGGCAGTGAATACAGACAGCTTTATGGAGGCTTCTAGTTAGTTAGCTCAGTTCCCTGTGAAGAAAAAAAGATTGAGTAGAACGAATTAAACTAGAATCTTATACCATCAGTCCGTCCAAAAAACCCTCTGTTCCAAATAAGAGTATTTGCCTGAACAAGTAAAGTGAAGAAATGTTTCAGCAAACTGCCAAGTTTCCCAAGACACTGTGATACATTAATTAGCTGAAGACAGTAGTCAGGGATGAATAATCATGGAGATCAAGATAGCAGTTACCAGTATGTCAATATGTGGCAGTCATTCGTTATTAGACGGGCTTATCTACCATCATCTCGTCACATGTTTTTATTCAGGAAGTCATGAACAAATAAACGAAAATAGGAACTGGTCAGAAACCGAATCTTGGAGTCAGTAGATTGAGGTTCTAATATAAACTGTAACACTCAGTATATTTATGGTTTTGGTCAAGTTATTTAACATAATTGGGTATTTATTTCCTGATCTATAATGACTTGAGATTTCCCTAAATTAGGGATATTGAATTTATCACTAGATCCCAAAGCGATCTTCTACTTTTGATTTTCTTTCAAATATTTCACTTTACTGAATTCCACAGACTCTTGATCTTTCCTTCTTTCCTCACGTAGTCAGGCTCTAATGAGAGCAAATACATTTTATTCACTCTTTCAGCAAATAATTTATTTGTCATCTAAATTTTTGATACATTGAATTGAAGAAGATATATTTGGTATATACCTTTATGGGGCTTGCAGCCTAGTTGGGAAGGACAAATTGAACAAATAGTAAATTAGATTTGTGGTAAGAACTAATAAAAAATAAAGTTCTTTGAGAGCAAATCAAACTTGCACAAGAAGATAGTTTAATTTCTGTCACTAAGAAAATGTGAATATTATATTCATCATAATTATTTATTGAGATATATTTTCTGATATGAAGTTTTATGCTCCCTATTAGTCAATAGTGCTTTTTTTAAAATTCATTTATTTACTATATCTCACGTGCTGAGTGCTGTTAGGGCAAGTGAAATAAAGAGAAGTAAACATAACATTTACTGAATACTTAATATAGCTATATAATTAAGATGTATCAATTATTTTACTAATTACAATTTAATAGATATATTAACTGAGAGTCAAAGAGTTTAAGTCACTTGCCCAAGATCAAGTTGTTGGTGGTTGAACATTGGTATAAATCTTGGTAATCTAAACCCAACACCCATATCCCTTTAACTAAGCTATGATGTATTTCTAAATAAGAGTAAGTAATTACAAGTAATTACAATATAAGTCCTTATATAGATATTTGTACAAAATGGTTTTCAGTACAATATACATTTCATAATTTTAAGCTTTTCAGGTCATATGCTAAGTACACTAAGACAGTGTTTCTCAAATTACTTGTGTTACTAGGATAAGTTTTTTCTTTACTTTCTAGTCTTTCTTAGACTATTACTTCTGTGAAATACAAAATCAGAAACTTGGGGTCACTGTATATCAAATTGCTAGAGTACTCACTCACAAATTCTGTACCAAATATGATACAAACTGGTAACACCCAGCTTATGGACCTGCACATCACTGTGTGGATGACTTTTCTTTGCTTCAAGGAGTACAAATATGAATGAGTCAAAATCCCTGTCTTCAAGAAGCTTAGAGTCTACTTGGTGAGTTAGTAATCAGCTCACTATGATACAAAGAATAGTAAAATAAAAACTACTAACAATAAAACAAGACTTTGTAGATGTGGTAAACATTTAAGTAATATTGAAGCTAAATATAGTCCCACAGATGGGGCCAAGTGAAGGTTTAATAGGCTTGGAGGAGATCGCAGTAGTGGTTAGTTCTGTGACTGGAGCCAGATCATATTGGTTTTTAACCCAAAAAAAACCAGTTGGGACTGAAGTCCTGTAACTCTTGTTGACCGTCTTACTATCATGGCATCCATCCTGGG